GAAACAGTTGTGAGTCAAGTTTCAAACAACCTTTATAGGCATGAAGAAATGTTTAACATCTTTACTATGTGAATAAAGATTATATGATATGCCTCTGACTGTTGAATATGTCCTGAAACATGGCATTTATGTTTTCATACCCTATAATTATGTTTTTTCAGAACCATTTATGATTTGGTCAATCCAGTTGTTTTTTTCATACCTGATGAGTTAGCGGATAAATGTTTAAATATATACTTCCTCACAATATATGAAAAATTAAAAACAAAATTCATTGAAAAAAGTGGTATGAAATTGGACATTTTATAGTTTCGTGAGAAAGACTGCTTATTTCCATCAAAGCATTGTTATTTTGTTTTAGTCGTCGAATTAAAATAATCTCCAAGAAACAAAAACGAAAAATTACAGATGAAATTGAACATTGATTTTGATACATGGCATGACATCCATAGCACATGACGCGCTTTGTGTACACAATTACAACTCCACACTGCATTTTACTATGCGAGGATCAATTTTCATCGTGATCCCGAAAATTGTTCACATGATGATGGCATTAATTATAATAATTTTCTATACATGCACATATTGTTTTTTTTTTTAATATTCCAGTAAACGTATGAGAGCTAATTTCATATAATGACTATAATTTTGAAAACTTACATAAATTTTATAAAAAAATTATCTTTTTTTTTTGTCTTAATAGCAAAAGAAGAATTATTGAAATGATTGAGCATTCGTAAAGAAGATTACGAAAGGAAGTTATCGATTTATCGCTAACTATCAAGAAAATATGGATACGCTATTAAAATTACCTTTTGAATGCGGTAAATAGACAATTTAAAAATTTGAATCAGATGTATATTTTTTATGAAACGTACATGCCATTTTTGGGCAGAGTTGACATAAAAGTTGCATTTTAGCAAAGCTCTACTTCTGCCTTTATTTATGAAACGTCAATGAAAATACCTTTACTTATGAAACGAGCTTAGTATCAAGCAGAGCTCGAAGTCGATTCAAGTTGACTCGAACCCTATTGACTTCGAGCTCTGGTATCAAGCCAAAGTCACTGGTACAGTAGATGTGTCGTCTTTCAAAAGTTAAGAATTTAGATTATTTATGTAAATTTTACCAAAAAAAAAAATATTATTTGCAACTCTGTTCAATATTGAGATAAATTTGGAGATTAGTACTTCATTAAGAGAAAAATATTTTTATTAAAATGCAAATTTGTATTAAAGAGAGAATGGGTTCTGTCTAGAATGGCTGGATATTCATCCTTGATGAGGAATATAAATTATGAAAGGGCGAATCACACACCTAAACTTCTCATATTTTAAAGAGGAAGTCATTAATTTCTTTGCCAAAACTTCATAAGTTTTGAAATGCATTATCTTCAAACGAATAACGAAAAAAAAAAATTATGAAGGCATACGAAAGAAGTTCTGCAAAATGCAATCGGAATTCAAGTGATTCAAATGAAAGAATAAAACAATGATTTTCATCTTTGTGTATATTGTGATTAATATTTTTTACACAGACGATTAAATGCTTGCAAAAATCATGAAGTAAGCTGTACAACCACGGATAATTTATTCAGTAAATTTTTAGGCGTGTACTGACTTCCATATTTTAATCAAAATTGCTTCTTGTAATTTCTTCGTGTATTAAACCATTTTTTTAAAGCATGCATAACAGCAATGAGACTGTAGTTAATATTATAGAATAAAAATATCATATTCTGTAACTTCTTACTATCTCTTCCATTCGTCTTTAGCAGCTTCAAAATGTGTTTGAATTTTAATGGAATTCTGAAGGATTTGGAACTGGAAAAATTTAAACAATGGGTATCCATTTTATTCTCCTAATTATAATTCCTGCAAAATTCATATAGAAAAAAAAAAATAACTCAATTCAGTTCAAAAGATATATCCTTTTTAAAGAAAATGTTGAAGAAAAACTTAAAGCTATCGAAAATGTCATAAAATGAAACGTAAAATATATACTTTAAAGTGAAGCCCTTCAAAAAACGTGTGAAATGTTCTTATTAGGTCTTATTTTTAGAATTTGTCACAAGTTTTTCAAATACAGTAGCGAAATTTACAGAAAAAATCCATTGAAATGATAAAGACTTTTCCATTATTGAAAATATTTCCCTTAAACATTCAGAGCTTCGGAAAACTGCCTGAAGAGGGCCATTGAGATGAAACTATGTTCCCAACAATAAAGTATGTTGTTTTCTATAGAAGCAGAAGTGCGATGAAAATTCCATTTATTATAAGACGACTGGTTCTATCTGAATATATATTGGTATATTACGGGGCTTGTTATTGTTGTTGTTTTACTACTCCACATCTCTATAAAATTATTTTTCAGCTCTTTTTTCTCTCCTGTTATTTCTTTTTTCGCTTAGGAGTTTTTGTTGTACGGTTTGTCGGAAAAATTGCTGAGCGATGCTAGCGCAAAAAAAATGTATGTTTATGTGTGGAATAATGTAAGAAAAAGAAAATGTTTTCCATTTTCATTCATTAGAATATTTTCATACATCCATTTTTTATGATGCCAAGTAAGCAACATCACCAAATCACGTACAGTTTTTCACACTTTTCATTAGGACTTTTATTTTTTTAATCATATTGATTAAGTTTTGCTTTGTGTTCCTTGTTGTCTAATATTTATCTTGCCAGAGCTTCATGTGTGCGTATCTAATCGTATCGCGAATAACATTTTTCAATCAATGGCTTTAATCAATGGTTTGAAGAAACGGGAAGAAGCATATAGTGGTTCTTAAAATTATTATAATAATCTCATTCTTCTTTTATGAATGAACTTTTTGTTATAAAAATATGAATGAAAGAATATTATATAATTATAAAGTAATCATAAGCTGCTTCAGTCTCTTATGATGCTTTTTTTTATGTTTATACATGCCATAGTAGCATAAAACTTTGTGTAGTAAACGTTAAAATGAGAGGAAGAAGTTTTATCTGGTTCATCTTATAACTTTAGACAATGGAGTTTCTTATAAAAACGCCTTTCATATCCAAGCATAAACCTTCCCAGATTTTCTGAAATTTAATGAGAAAAAAAATTAGCAGTCTAAAAATCTGCTACTTTCCGTTTTAAACCTGAATTTTCACTGGCTTTTTTTTTTATCTCTTGCGATCACCTTTAACATTTTAGAATTAGGTAGGTACTTGAAGTTTCATGATGTCTGCTCGAATCTCTTTGCATGAAGTAATTCAGGCGTTTCATTTCTGGTTGATAAGAGAATGTATTGTCGATGATTTTGCTGTACGTAACGATTGCAGTTTTGATTCTTTTTCCAGACTGAATTTAAAATTTAAAAAACATGATTTTACGATTAAACTGTCGAGGATATACTGTATGTCTACAAAGAAACAGCTCAATGTCTTTAAAGGCAATTTGGATGCACTCTCGGAACATGTCTCAGTTTTCATAAATTAAAAAACTAAAACAAGTCTTACAAATCAATTAAGATTCCATGTCTTTTTAAAAACTTCCTGATTCTATCTTTCAAGTCCGATAAAATTAAAGAATTAATGGATGCAAAATGTTTTTGTGCCTGCTTATTTATTTTCTTTGAATTACTTCATGCTACCTAATGAATGATTCTGTCGATAAAAAAATATTAAGATGATGCTAGAAATCCATGATTTAACAATTTTATTCCACTTTCATTACAAGAGAATAAAATTTACATTCTGTACATTCCTTAACTCATGCATTGAAATCACTAGAACCAATCCAATTTTATATGCTTTTGCTAGAAAAAAACGCACATTTTTTTATTATTTGAAACCTCTCTTGGCTGGTGAGTATACAAGCTAGCTAAAATAACACTTGCACCGTATCATGCAACGAGCAAACCGTAACATTCGAATCCTTCATGAAATTTTCACGGTTTAATCTTAGATTTTCCACATCCCTTCGCAGTGATATGAGAAATTCTCCGCAATACAGATTTTAAATAAAAGCAAAAGGAATGTTATCAGGAGGGTTCAAAAATATTTTTTTGGAATGCTATGTAAAATAATGTTTGCTTAATGAACTTTGAGAATCAAAAGTTAAAGAATAGATTGGTCCGGATGAGTTCATGAGAATGATAGAGATGTAGAACATAATGCAACTTCCTATTTAATAAGAATGAAGAGAACAAAATCAAAAAAGGAAAATCTCTGTCAAAAATAACATTTCCTCAACGAAACGTCTGTAAATCCTGTTCAATGCTTTCATCATCATCACACCTATATCAATTACAAATTGTTATTTTAGCTGCTCAATAGAAAGAATAAAAATGTTCTTTTTATGTATGTACAGAAAGTAGCACGTTTTTGCAGTGAAAAAAATCATTTCAAGCATACGTACACCAATAAAAAAAAGAGTCCCTGTAACCCCAAACTTGTTTTATAATCCTCAACAAATCCAACCCAAATTCATTCCATCGCATTGCATTACAAGTCAAAATATTACTATATAAGCACAATATTTTGGTTTAATAAAAATTTAATTTTAAAATTATTTCCATTGAAAATCACACATGCAGAAAATCTTTTTACGCACATTTCGTCAGTTGTCAAACTGTAAATGCACAATTCTCGTCTTTTTCATTCAGAAATTTTCAAGCTTAAAATAAAATGCATTGAAGTTAAACATTTAAAATTTTCTTTGTTCATTTCAGAATCTTTTTAAGGGTCTTATTTGAGATGAAACGAGATTTTTAAACCTCCCCCCTCTCTTTTTTCTTATATAGAAGTAAACTGTCAAAAAAGGTTTGAATTTATCAAGTAGGGGGATTGAACTAAAATGAAATTTTTTACAGCAGTTGCTATAAAAGGGATATTATGAAAATGACGTCAAAAACCTTAATTCAATAGTGTCACCAGACCTTGTATCTCAGCAACCTACAACATTAATTACTCTACATCATTTTTTGATCTCACATAACATAACCCCCCCCCCCCCCCCCCCCCTCCTATCATAAAAATTCAGACATCACAGGCGAACGACCTATATTTTCTGCTGTAAAAATCCAATGACTTCAACATAAAATATTCTTGAAAATCAGAATATAAATATATTTTGGTAATAAATAGCTCAGATATTTAACAATTACAGTTTATAGATTAGGAATTGTTCTGTAAAAGATTCAAAATTTAGTGAAAAACTAGTAAATGACAAATAGAAAAAGTGTTATCTAACTTCCATTAATTTATTATTTCTACAGGATTTACACAAAAACATCAACATAAATCATGGCTGGAGTTCTTCGCTTTAGCGTGAACATAATTAAGGGAAATGCCAAGCCTCTTGTCAAAGCTAATGTTCCTGTAATTATTAAAGTATGTGGAATCTCAGGCAAAACTTTGAGAGGAGAAAATAAAATTGTAAAGCCGAGTCCATTTCCTTACAAAACAAAAGAATATGATGTTTGGAGTGCATTTTTAGACAAGACAACTAAGAGATTCGATGATAATTCAAAGGTGCTATAAAGTTCCATTGCCAATTTAACAAATATTAATTTAATTAATTATTTATAGATGATTTGCGTTGAAGGTCCAATTTGTTCAGGAAAAACCAAATTTGCAAAGGAGCTTGCTGATGAATTAGAAATGACATATATGCCAGCACCTACAATGGATGATATTTACATCAACGCCTATGGATATGATTTGAGAAAACTTGACGATCAACTTCCAGAGAATGTCAAGAGCTTTGATAATAAAAAGTTTTGCTTACAACCAAATCATCGCAGTGTCGGAACTTATCAAATCAGAATGTATATGCTCCGCGTAAGCAATTACATTGATGCCTTAGCTCATATCCTTTCAACTGGACAAGGTGTCGTTTGTAATCGCTCACCATACTCTGATTTCGTTTTTGTTGAAGCTTTAATGCGCAGCAATTACATCTCAAGAGGTGTTCGTTCTGTATATTATGATTTGCGTAATCATACATTGCCGGAATTAATGAAACCACATCTTGTCATCTATCTTGATGTTCCAGTAAAACAAGTGAAAGAAAACATCAAGAAACGAAAGATTGACTATGAAGTTCAATCAAAAGTTTTTAATGATCAATATTTAGGTGATATTGAGACTGGATACAAGCAACGTTTTTTGAAGGATATCTCAAATCATGCTGAATTGCTTGTTTACGATTGGACAGAAGGTGGTGAAACTGAAGTCGTTGTAGAGGACATTGAACGAATTGATTTTGATCGTTTTGGACATTATGATGAGAAGATGAAGGATTGGAGAATTATGACAGAATGGGAATGGTGTGAAAAGAGAATCCTTTATACATCAGACAAAGCCGATGTTATGAATTATTTCAATGTCCCACGATTTGATGTACCAGAACTTATTCGCGAAGCAGATGATGCTAAAGCTGTACGTGATGTCTATGGACATGCTCCAGGCGAAAGATACATCCATGGATATAATGCAGATATGGGAGATAGCGGAATTTTGACAAAAACTAAATATCGATTTGATTTCAAGTAAATTGAATTAAAATAAAACATTTGAAGAAATTAAAAGATTAGACATCATTAAAAGATATTTATTGTGCTAGAAATCAAGCATATATTTTGTACATAAGCCAGTTCATAATAAATTTCGTCTTATGTCAATATTCTACGTTAACTCATGCCACTTTCCTTCATTGCTTTTCGTTCATAATATCGTTTAACAGCTTCCACAAATGAATCACCAACAGTTCGTTTAGCCCATATATCAATTTTCGGCTTTTTAGGCACGACTTCTACTTCATCAATCTCATCATCGATTTTGTCGGTTTTAACTGGTTCTTGGATCTCAATTTTATCCACAGGCTTCATCGGTTCCTTAAATGTTTCTTGTTCATTTGGAATCTTCTTATTCTCACTATCAGATTCCTCACTACTTGAATCCACAGAAAAATCACTATCAGCATCTAAGTTAGAATTTAAATGCTCTGTTTTGGGTGGTTTTGCATCAGCAATCTCACTTACTGCTGGCTCTTCGTCATTTGATGATTCTCGTTTTCTGTAATTCTTTTTTTTTTGCAAAGTGTCATTCAATCGTTTTGAGTTTGTTTCTTCTAGTTTTGACTGCACATCCTCTGTTTGTTCTACCTTTATATCTGATTCAGTTTCAGTTTCTAGTTTTTGTGAATACAAATGTCTATAAAACCCTGAAAGATCTGCTTGTTTTGTGACATCACCGATAGATTCTAAATACTCTTGTCGTTTCTCTTCTAGTTCTGCTTCCTTAATTTCTTCAAGCTTTTTACGATAAGTGGATGTGACAAAAATCTCCTTATCTTTAAATTTTTCACCTTCAGCTTCTCTTTCTTTCTGGACCTGTCGCTCAACACGTCTTTCGTATTCCTTCTTTCTTTTTTCAGCTGTCTCGATGAGCTTTTTAATATATTTAGGTTTCTTGTCTTCCTGCGCCTTTTTCTGATTTTTTGCTTCATTTCTTTTATTCTGGATATCATCATATACTTCATCATATAAAAATATATTGGGATCTTCTTCGACTGCTTGCTCATGCATTTTCTGAATTTGTTTTTTCTGGAGCATATTTGGTTTAAGAAGTGGCTGTTTTTTAACTGCTGTGCTGTTTGGTTCATCTTCTGAGTCGGAACCGAAAACATTCGAAGGTTTTATTAACTATAATAAAATTTTGACGAATATTAATAAGTCTTCAAGTTATCCAATTACTTAAATGAAATTACCCCAAATTGTTTTGCCATTCTGTGATTAATTATAGTTTTAAAACTGGCTAGATACTGCTCAAATTAAAATTAATTGCTTAAAATCTCAATGTTTACAAATGTTTACAAATGTTTACAAAAAGAATTGAGTTTAAATTTAAAATATCCGTTATTATAAACATAATTAAGATAATAATTGTCAAATCAAACATATCTTTTATAAAGTTTAATAACTTCGGGATTTCTGATCAGGGCTAATGAAGTAACGTGCAAGTTAATTTTGATTGTACTAGCTCTGCTTCCATAGTCGAAATAAGATAACGGTTACAAAAATTTCAAAATACAATTGATCCGGATCAAATTTAACTTTCTCAACGGATTAATAAGTTTTACAGCAAGTTTCGATATTTAAAATATTTAATAATTTTTACAGCTTCTCTGTTATTTTATCAGAATCAAATAAACTAATAAGGAAGAAACAACGTTAAGGTTCTTGTTTTTGAAAGAAGATAGTTTAAAAAGTTGCTTGAATTATAAAAACTTGAAGCAAACAATGCCTCGAACAAAACTACCAAAAGTTGCGGCAAGCAAAAGAGCTCGTGAAAATGCATCGGAACTGGATGATATTTTGCGTGATTTTGATGTTGAATGTATGTTTCTGTCTATTGCAATTAAGCTTGTAGCTAATTCGTTTTGAATTTTTTATTTTTAGCTGAAAATTCGTTACAATCAATAAGAAGTGCTCATCAAAAGAATCTGCAGGATGCTGAGACAGAATTCGAAAACTTCAAAACGGAGTTAGGGTCGAACCTTTTGATGAAGACTATGGGAGAAATTAAACAAATGAAATCATTGTTTGATTCAGCAGAGAAAACAATTCACGAACTTAACATGACTGTTAAGGATACAACACAGAGACCAGATGAAGGTAATTAATTCTTTATTAACTCTCTATTATTCATCTACTCACTTTACATATCTAACATTTCATTTATAATCATTACTAACATTCTTTCTCTCTTAAACTATCTATCTCTTTTCATATATTGTTAATGTAATAAGGATATCTTACAGCGGATGTTGGATATAAAACTTCTGAATCTGAATGTGATAAATCTTTAACTCAAAAAGGTCGAGACGTCTCAATAATTGCTCCTTTGCGAACACTCAAATCTCGTAGACGTAGTCAGTCTGCAAGCAATGTTCCAATTTCGACACCAGGTCCTCGATCGATGATGACCCAAATGAAACAGAAAACTCCATTGCCTTCATCTCATGCATCACGTTCTAAATTTCGTACACCAGCACAAAAGCCAGCACATCAAAGAGCTGCAAGTGCTGATCGTATAGATTCAATCATACCAAAAGTCAATCCAATGACTCCAGTTTCAATTCTTCGACATCCACGTTCTGGAGAAATTGCATTTTCTGTTAAAGGAAGTCCAATTCTTACATCAAAGTATGTCTACATCAATTTTTTTCATTAAATATATAATTCATTTAATTAAATTTCTTTTCAACAGCATCATCGAAAGAACTGCAAATGTCAATATTCCAATAGCCAATGGTGTCTTATCAGTGCGTCCAGAAAACATGGATCCATCACATTTAAATGCCAGCCTTATTAGAAAATTTGATAATAATACTATTACACATTTGCATACACTCAAAAATAACTTGGACATGCTTATGAAAGCATTTGAAAATCGAATGAAGTCATAAATCATTTTTCTTGTGTCATATCTGTTTTAAATAACGGCTTTTTATGTTGCCGATTATGTTAAGGAATACTTTCTATTTTATAACTGATTTTTCTTTTTTATTTCTTATAAATTTCAATTTCTTACGACAAAATCTTATGAAATACTCGTATCAAAAGGATATTTTTTAACATGCATGGAAATTTGAAAATTCACTCGGATCTAGTACAATAAAAATTATCAACATGCGCACAGCATAGAAATATTTGTCTCACAACTGTTTCACTTTTCGTCTTAATCAGTGAAAATTTGCATCAAGCCTAGAACGAAATAGTAGAGTTTGACCTGAAAAGAATGAGATACGTCAAAGTTACTTAAAAACAAGAAAAATCGTAGAGAAGATTTTTAACAATTTACTGTGACTTGATGTTTTAGAAAGGGTGAATGATACGTGCTGTTTGGTGTTAATCCAACCATTTTGCAATAAATTAGCAAAAATAATGAATGTTAAAAATGAACGAAAATTCAAGATATTCATACGGAAATTAAGTGTTTTTTGTGCTTAAATGAACTAATGACATATCTAGTTGAATGGTATAATTAAACATCATATGGATATAATAAAATTTATAGCAAAGGATGCACAAGATTCATTTCTACTATTAAATAAGATAACATGATTGATTTATGCTATGAGTAAATGCCAAAGGAAATTGAATAAACATAAATTAAATCTTCTTCTTTAACAGTTGTGTGTACAGAATGTTCTTTGTGCGTAAAAATTAGATTAAAGTTAAATAGGAGAAAGACGGCATTTAAGTAATAAAGTTACAGAACGGTGACAACATTTTCTAGATAAACAAGCAATTGCTATAAATTAATTAGTATTAACAATCTTGTGTTTGAATAAAGTAATGTGAACATCCAATATAATAAATATCAATTGTAATATCAAAGATTAAAGGATTTTCAGCATAAAGCAAGTGTACAATGACCTGATGTACAATATGCAGTGGATAATTGCTTTTCTTTGTATAACTTATATTAAAGGCTCAATGATAATAGGTAAGAGCACATTTCCATACTTTTTTTTTCTCAGTTTATTTTGTACAATAAAAAAGATCCATTAAAGCTAAATTGTATACATGCACATTTTCTCTTTATTTATATGAATCTATCCATCATATTTTTTTGAACGGTATTAAAAAAGGAAAGAGCTTTTACATTTATTTTTAAATTAAATTTATTAAAATCTACGCCAACGTCCTATTTCGAACATACATTTTCAAATAGAAGCCTTTTGAACTCTCTAAAGCCTATTAGTAACGGAAACGGATGTAATTTTTTTGAAATTTTTCATTAAAAATTTACGTTAATTTTTCTTGGAAGTTTACCAGATCTGGTCAAAGAATCATTAAGAAATGAATTAATTGTGTTGAGCAGCTATCAGTCATAAAAGGGTTCAGATTTTAGTAAAAAGTTGTAGAAGCTGAAAATCAGTCAGAATACACGCCCTCAGCATATTTCAATTAAATCATCTCATAACTTCGTTTATTACGGAATGCATTAATGAACAGCATATCCGAATTTCGTGCATTTTATCTCTTAAATCCATTCTGCAAAATTCATATTCTCTTCTCTTAAGCAGTGAAATTGCATCAATAATATGCAATGCGACCTAAGTTTAGTCACAGCATTTCGAATTTTTTTTTATGTGCTTGATATCAAACTCGTTTAGAGTTTATTCAAGTATGCTATATGAAAGACATCAAAAAGAGTTACTTCCGAGAACATTGTTAAAGATATATCTATTCTTTATGTCAATGTAGTATTTTCATTTCTTGATCTTTTTATCATACACATAGAATCATATGATTTCAATACTTATTATATTCACACCGTTTTCACGTGTGCATCTATTGGTTTTGTTCAGATGGAAAAATCAGTTTTTCGCATTTTGTGAGAAAACAAAGCAAAATTGGTTATAAAAGGTCGAAGAAGAAAAGTTTGTGCCTGAAATTTTGCATCATTTTCAAAAACCAGATTTCAAATTGGTTGTGGCATTGCTGAGAAAATCGCAAAATACGCTTTTTGTAAGCAAACAAGCAAGCAAGCAAGTTAATCAGCAAGGAATCAGCAAGAAATCTCAATAACGAGACATCGTAGAGACTTCTAGTTTTTTACATTTGATCCGTGCTGCTCTATAGAAGAGCTGTATTGTTTTTGGGCAAGGTAGGAACAGCCGTTGCTTCAGAAAAAGCAAAAAACTTTCCTTTCTTACGAATTTTTCAAATTAAAAGTTGACTGTGATTTTTATAAAATTAAACTTTGGATGAAAATTCTTTTTAAAAAACTTTTAAAGAATGTTTGGCATATTTGTCAAGCTTTATACCTTCAAACTTATGCTGAGCGAAGCTCAGCTGACTCTCTAGCTTTATATCTTCAAACATATGCTGAGCGAAGCTCAGTTGACTTATCAAGCTTCATACCTTCATACTTATGATGGGCAAATCTTGGTCTATCCATAAGACTTTTGATAGTACGGTGTGAATATAATCCGCATTGGGTTTCTACCCGATACACTAGTTTGATTTAAAAAATTGATCAAACAAGACCAAACGCGTCAATCACTAATGACTAATGACGTCCGACATTCATAAAAGGGAAGTGCTTAAGAATTAGTGACACTTTTAACAAAAGAAAAAAGAAGGCAAAGCCGAGTGAAAATATTTTATGGAAGTATTTTATGAATGATTCCAAAGATACCAGTTTATTTGAATCTTCCATTTATTTTATCTCGTAAGCCATTGCTGCCCATTGCTAAACCACAGGATATAAAGGAACACAACAGACGTGTAGCAAGGGAAGATTGCTGCTGATATATGTATCCCAAAAAATCCTCCTACAAGCACCCATGCCTAAGACAAAATATAGCTACGTTTCTGACAAACAAAAAATTTAAATTGTAATCGATTGTAAGCGGACCGTGGGGTCGTCAAATAAATGCATACGTATTCATGCTTCTAATGGTTAATACATTGAAACGCTTAGAATCGTAATAAATGCTATCTGAAAAAGAAAAATCTTTTTTTTATAACAAAAAACAGAATAAAAGCACGACTAGATGATTTACCGCCAGCGAAATGAGAAAACTGAGAGAAATTTACGGTAATGCCGGATTTTATCCAAAGTTTATTCATATTAAAATATTTTGCGGACGCAAATCACAATGGAACAATAAGATTTTATCATTATCATAACTTCCTTGATTAACTTATCTCGATTCCACGATCTCAATTTGAAAAATTGATGAAGAAAATTTATTAGAATAACACAAAAGAGAAAAGCCTCCGGAAGTAAAGGACTTTAAAATATATTTTCTTAGAAATTCAATTCATCAATGAGCACTGTTCTTGTATATAAACATAAAACTTGCTTAAACAAAAGCAGCAAAATGTGTTGTTAAAAAAAAATCGTGAAAACTTTTGTGTTCGCTTCGAGAAAAAAGAACAAAAAGTTTCAGCATTAAAGTATGAAGAAAGAAAAAAAAATACATATCTGAATTTTCTTTTTAGTTCCAGAGACTAAAAGTCCATACGATATTCTTTGGCATGACTTTTCCTCACCCTCACCATATAACGATAACATAGAGAACATTAGTGAAACAACAGCTGTTAACGAGCCTTTTTTTGATGAGACATCATCACAAGTAAATGTGTCCGCTCAGCTAGGAAATGACGCCATATTAAATTGTCGTGTGAACGATCTACGTGAAAAGACGGTAAGAAGAATGGCTTTTTATTAGTCTTTAATTTGCGAACATAATAGAGTTTAAATTATGAGCAAAGCTATTCGGTGAAGCTTTAAAAGTGTATAACTACATTGTCATAATTTTAATATTGTTCAGGTATCCTGGCTGAAAAGAAAGGGAGAACAGCTTCATTTAATAACAATTGGTGCTTCAACATATAGTGGCGATTCACGATATTCTATAGAATTTAAGCCTCCCAATGACTGGCAGTTACAAATAAAGTATGTAAATGAGAGGGATGAAGGGCAGTTCGAATGTCACTTAAATACTCAACCTGCTCTTTCACTTGTTGTTTCATTAGAAGTTATAGGTAAGTACAGCGAATCTATTTCTTTTTTTGCATCACATAATAAATACGACAGCAGTTTCACAATTCAAATGAATATAAACTCATTTTTTATCAAAATGATTCCAATTTTTTATGGCATTAAATAGGTTTAAGAACTCGATTTATTTATTTTTTTTCTCACTTACTTCCTACGACATTCAGTTCCCCGCGTTGAAATAATAGATGAAAGAGGTATGCGTACTCCTGACAAATTCTATAAATCTGGCAGCACAATAGAACTGAAATGTGTTATCAGCAAAATGCCACAACCAACAAATTATGTTACATGGAAGCATGGATTGCGAATGCTGAATTATGACACAAGTCGAGGTGGAATCAGGTAAGAAGTGTTAAAAGAAAAGGGAAACTTTTTTTTTTAAAAAAAGTGCTGCCATGCTAAAATTTATATCTCTGGGAGCAGGTTTTTTAATATACGCACGTAAATATTGTAATTTCTTGCGAATATGACACTTGCTTCAAAAGGAAAGAAGATGAAATGTTGCACTCTTGACAATTCTCCTTTTTTTAGTACCTATCTTCTTTTGTGTTTCTTTCATCTTTTGTTCTATGTCTTTTGCATTTTAGTACCCAAATCTTTAAGCAAAAAAAAAAGAAAAACTTTTTCATTCTCTCTACGTACGTTCACACAATGAACAGCTTTAAAAGCGGTGTTTAGGGATATGAAAAGAAATAGATAAGAGCTTCTTATAGATAACATCTAAACTTTTAATTTATATACCCTTCAGTAAATTACAATTAACAATAACTTTTCTTTGTTTCTTGTTGTTTCTTGCTTCTATTTCATCCATAACTTATTCAAAGTGTAAAAACTAATTTAAACTCAATGGGAGCAGTTAGTAGGTTGTATATTGCAAATGCAAACAAATACGACAATGGGAATTATACATGTTCCTTAGGTGAATCTGTACAGACTACAGTTACCGTCCATATTTTAAATGGTGAGTTTGTCGAATGATTGCACAGCAAATATTACCATTTAATTTATTTTTAATAAAATAGGTGAAAATCCAGCAGCAGCTCAACATTCAGAAACTGATTCGGCCAGTTTTTTGAGCCCGTTAAATCACATGCTGATTTATACTCTATTATTAATATCCCTCTTCAACTACAGGTGACAATTCGTGGATGAAAATGACTTGACATAAAAAAAAATAATAAATACTTTAAAGGAATAAATGTTCTTTCATACTTTTTCAATGTGGTACTATTTTATCAGTATTGCTCAATTTATCTCATACTTAAGGAACTAACCAAAACATATATAAAAATAACCTTCATAAGATCTATAGATACTTTACCTGAATATTTTGAAATGAGATATAAATTATAAAGTTACGAATGAAAATTGTAACTTTGTAATATTTTATTTGACTCTCAAAATCATGAGAAGCTATAGGAAAACAAAGTTCTAGACCTAAGTTTTTTAAACTAACATTTTTCTAAGAAATTATTTTCTTCTGGATTCTACTTGAAAAAAAAAACAAGGAAAGAAAAGAACAAAAACTGATGTTTTAGAAATACGTACATCCCTTTCATAACTTTGCTATCATACTGATACTAAACCATCATATTTAAATTTAGATTTGATGTATCCGCATTTCAGCCATTCTGCTAATTGGAAAAAGTCTACAAATCTACTGAAAATTCTCGTTATATATTGTACGATAAAAAAATATAACTTACAATAATAAAAATAATTTGTATTTTACAAATTTTAAAACTTTTTTGATTATATAGCCTTAGGAGTCATTCAGACCAGTTACTTTTTTTTTATTGGGTAAGGTCTAAACCAATCAAAATTCGAGACGACTGCTAGCGCAACAGATCTTCCTCAAAATCAGGCTTTTCTGTGGCTAAAGTAGTTTTCTTATCTTGATAATTTAAAATCTCCATTTGTTGGAAAAATAATGCTGGCGCATCCGTAGTCTGTTTTTTAACTGGCACTCGTGCTGCTAAATTGACCATTGAAAACCATTGTCCATAGCATAGATGATCAAAACGTAACATGCTAACCTTTTCAATAAAATATGGTTCCTATTAAAAGGCCATTAAAGATATTCTTTACAGATATTTACTTGCTTTCCACCAAGTTCACCTAAAATGTAATAAAAATAAATTTTAAAGGTCAACCTCTAACATCAATTATGTACACTCACCAGGACCCAGACATAAAGGTATACCAGCTTCACCATTCCACAACTTTTCAAAATTTTTTCGCAGGAAGCGTGCTAGATAAATTGACTGGCAATCACAATGCTGTGTGAAGAAAAAATTTTCCATTCAACCTAGCATGAATAATTGAATCATCATGTCGGTATTTTTTATTGTCCTTACCCAAGGATTTTTATCTAATTTAATTTTGGTTAATTTTGGTATATTATCGAGACAGTCTTTTGGCAGAAATTGGAGTTTATTCGAATCAAGTCGTCTAAAAGAAATTTTAATAATGAAATAAGTTATAAAGCATTGGCCATGAATATAATATGAATATAATAACTTACAATTTTGATAAGCTTATCAGCGGAGAAAATACGTCAGCATCAAAATCTTTCAGATTATTATTGTTGAGTAGTAAACTTGACAAAGAGCTACAGGGAATAAAATGTCATCAGCTAGCGTAAAAGATGAAATTTTCAAATCTTTTGTTACCTTAAACCTTCAAAACTATTAGAATGGAGGTATTTGAAGTTATTACTGAAAAGCATCAAACGCTTCAAGCCTTTCATTGAACGAAATAGATTTTTTGGTATATGATTTAACGAATTTTGACTTAAATGCAGCTCAGTGACCTTTCTCAAGCTGTGAAAAGCAAATGGATGCATCGATTGGATTTTGTTTGCTGCCAAATCCAATATCAAAAGGTTCTTTAAGCTTTTGAAAAGGCTTTCGCTTATATGAATTATAAAATTTTTCTTCAGATACAAATGCTGCAGAAATACAAGATTAACAAAAGCATCATCGGAGATTTCAGCTAAGATAGTTAAGAATGTGAATATTATCAATAATCTTCTTCGACTGACCTTAATCTATTTTTTATGGATAAATAATACATACCTAATGAGTTTTCAGAGAGTCTTAATGTTTTCAGCTTTTTCAGTTCAAACAAATCCTTATTGTCTATGGCACAAATCTCATTTTTTGAAATATCCAATTCTTCCAGTTCCGATTGTTCGAGTAAAAGAGGGAATTTATTCAGCTTATTGTTGCTAAAATTTATAACTGATAAACACACAAAGGTATCAGATTTTATTTTTTGATGTCCTCTTATATTTATTTATTGATGGAAGCAGTAAATTTAAGAATTATTTAAATTTCTTCCAACATTTCATATCATACGGGAATTGCAAAATAAAACTTTATATCCTTTTAAGTTACAGTCACAAAATTTACAAAAATTGCGTCCGTAATACTCTTCATCATTTGCTGTAAACCCCTTACTGAGTCAAAAACTTAGAAAATGACCATAGAGTTCCTACAACTCACATGGTATTTCTGGGATTACTGTCAAATTTATATAAACCTCGATTCATATTTTTACTGATAACTCTCAAATAAACCAATACAGCATTCGTTGAAGACTTTACCTTTGATGTGATAAATTGATTGGAAAAGCTCTAGAGGTAAGGCATTTGACAAATGATTAATTGAGACGTCTAATATCTTCAAGCTTCGAAGCTTCAAAAACAGCTGATTATCAACTCTTTGAAGATTATTTTCTTGAAGACGTCTGAAATTTTTTTTTCATTATACTTTAACATTTTTCGAAGATAATGGATTACTTACAAGGTTGATAAGCTATCTAAATCTAAGAGTAAATCATTGGGCAGAAAATTTAGACGATTTCTAGATAGATCCAAGATTGTAAGGTGTGTTAAACCTCGAAATGTGTCCCGATGTAATGTTGTCAATTCATTATACGAAAGATCACTAAAAATGAAAAAATTATAACTCCTTTAAAGAATTTAATGTCTACATTTTTGGTCTATATTGACCAAATAATGTCATTTTTCTTTTTAAATTGTCAACATCTGCGATTTCCGACGAGTAAAATTCATTTACGGTCAAGTTCTGAATTATTAAAGAAATGATACCAATGATTGCGATATAGCTATTAGAATTTCGTCCTTTTTCAATGCTTTGCAAATTCTTGATAATTTTCAAAGTTTGTGTAGGATCTTCGACAATTATCATGTGATGAAGATTCATAATATCAAATTTTTAATAAATGTTTTGTTAAATAAATTTATGTAGGCACGGATGCCAACATTCGTATTATTGAGACATAAAAGTTGCTGTACTCACATATGGGTGATATCGTTCGGAACAGATTGTGTAGATGGAATATTTTTCAAGCCTAGATGCCAACAACTAATTTGTTTTAGGACTGGAAGACAGCTTAAGGATTGAATATATGAAACATGTAAAAATTAATTAATTAATTTTGTGTTGAGCAGCTATTACCGACAAAATCCCTCTTCAGTACAACGATCCCAAGCTCGATCTAATGATTGACCCATTATGATTTTCCACACTGGCTATAAATAATTTAAATTCTTTTAAACAGTCTAACTTTGTGTATATTTTAAGGTTTCTAATTACTTGCTCAACTGACGTTAACCTTCTTTCGATCTGCCAAATAATATTATTAACAAGTAAGGTACAAAATTTTATAAAATGAGATTTTAATAACATTTACAAAAAAACTAGTGTATCGGGTAGAAACCCAATGCGGATATATTCACACCGTACCATCAAAAGTCTTATGGATAGACCAAGATTTGCTCAGCATAAGTTTGAAGGGTGGGCGTGAAGTTCCGCCGAGACCCATATCGACACAGTTCAAAAGTTATACCTAATTTATGTCATAATTATGTCAGCTACAAAAACACTTAGTTTGAATTTTGTCACCCTCGGGAACACTATGAACCAGTATAGCTGATTTTGGTCCAAATCTCGGCCATACTTCACACTTATTTGAACCACTTTTTTTCGTAAATGTTAAAATATTATTAAAAAGTAATTAATCCTGAATTATGTCGCTATTTTGTCAAGTGTTTTAGGATAAAGAATTTGTTTTTTTTTGTTTTCCACAGTGAAGAGTATGAACAAAATTCAGATGGGGCAGTCGAAATTTTAGATTTCGATTTTTTTTAAGCTATGCATTACAAAAAGTAATATTGGTATGTGATTTATGTCAGAATTATGTCAATTCAAATAAAACATCCAAAAAATTTTTTTGACCAAAGAACCAAGTAGGAAATACATTTTCAATTTTGGACTAGGATCGACCCTAGTCAAAATCAATTTTGTCACTTTTTTTCGAGGGTTTATCCAAATGGATTGAAACTTTGCATAAATATTCAAGTGCTTAAAACAAATACAAATAAAACATTCTAAAATTTTTTTGAGCAAAGAACCAAGAAGGAAATCAATTTTCAATTTTGGACTAGGGGCGACCCTAGTCAAAATCAATTTTGTCACTTTTTTTTCGAGGGTTTATCCAAATGGATTGAAACTTTGCATAAATATTCAAGTGCTTAAAACAAATACAAATAAAACATCCTAAAATTTTTTTGAGCAAAGAACCAAGTAGAAATACATTTTTAATTATGAACTTGGGACAGGTCTAGTCAAAATCTCGTTTTTCACTTTTTTCTCTTCGAGGATAAATCCAAATACAGTAAAACTTTGTATTAGCATTCTAATCCTTAGGTCACACATTTCTGAAATAATAAAAAATCATTTTTTTTGGAAAAATTTTAAGTCACGTTGTTTTTATATGTAGAACCAAATTTATAAAATTTGGGTCTGACGAAATATAGAATACATTTCTTGCTTTAGATATTTAAAACTATTTTGTATGAATATTAGTATACTCACACAAAGTTTCACTGTAATTGGATAAACCCTCGAAGAAAAAAGTGACAAAATTGATTTTGACTAGGGTCGCCCCTAGTCCAAAATTGAAAATGTATTTCCTACTTGGTTCTTTACTCAAAAAAATTTTAGGATGCTTTATTTGTATTTGTTTTTAACACTAGAATATTTATGCAAAGTTTCAATCAATTTGTATAAACCCTCGAAGAAAAAAGTGACAAAATTGATTTTGACTAGGGTCGCCACTAGTCCAAAATTGAAAATGTACTTCCTTCTTGGTTCTTTGCTCAAAAAAATTTTAAGATGTTTTTTTTTGTATTTGTTTTAAACACTAGAATATTTATGCAAAGTTTCAATCCATTTGGATAAACCCTCGAAGAAAAAAGTGACAAAATTGATTTTGACTAGGGTCGCCCCTAGTCCAAAATTGAAAATGTATTTCCTACTTGGTTCTTTGCTCAAAAAAATTTTAGGATGTTTTATTTGTATTTGTTTTAAGTCCTTTTCCATTTGGAATAATCCTCGAAGAAAAAAGTGACAAAATTGATTTTGACAAGGGTCGCCCCTAGTCCAAAATTGAAAATGTATTTCCTTCTTGGTTCTTTGCTCAAAAAAATTTAAGGATGTTTTATTTGTATTTGTTTTAAGCACTAGAGTATTCTTGCAAAGTTTCAATCCATTTGGAAAAACCCTCGAAGAAAAAAGTGACAAAATTGATTTTGACTAGGGTCGCCCCTAGTCCAAAATTGAAAATGTATTTCCTACTTGGTTCTTTGGTCAAAAATATTTTAGGATGTTTTATTTGTATTTGTTTTAAGCACTGAAATATTTATGCAAAGTTTCAATCCATTTGGATAAACCCTCGAAGAAAAAAGTGACAAAATTGATTTTGACTAGGGTCGCCCCTAGTCCAAAATTGAAAATGTATTTCCTAATTGGTTCTTTGGTCAAAAAAATTTTAGGATGTTTTATTTCTATTTGTTTTAAGCACTGGAATATTTATGCAAAGTTTCAATCCATTTGAATAAACCTTCGAAAAAAAAACATGAAAAAACTAGATTTTGACTAGACCTGTCCCAAGTTCATAATTGAAAATGTATTTCCTACTTGGTTCATTGCTCAAATAAATTTTAAGGTGTTTTATTTGTATTTGTTTTAAGCACTAGAATATTTATGCAAAGTTTCAATCCATTTGGAAAAACCCTCGAAGAAAAAAGTGACAAAATTGATTTTGACTAGGGTCGCCCCTAGTCCAAAATTGAAAATGTATTTCCTACTTGGTTCTTTGGTCAAAAAATTTTTAGGATGTTTTATTTCTATTTGTTTTAAGCACTGGAATATTTATGCAAAGTTTCAATCCATTTGGATAAACCTTCGAAAAAAAAACATGAAAAAACTAGATTTTGACTAGACCTGTCCCAAGTTCATAATTGAAAATGTATTTCCTACTTGGTTCATTGCTCAAATAAATTTTAAGGTATTTTACTTGTATTTGTTTTAAGCACTTGAATATTTATGCAAAGTTTCAATCCATTTGGAAAAACCCTCGAAGAAAAAAGTGACAAAATTGATTTTGACTAGGGTCGCCCCTAGTCCAAAATTGAAAATATATTTCCTACTTGGTTCTTTGCTCAAAAAAATTTTACGATGCTTTATTTGTATTTGTTTTAAGCACTAGAATATTTATGCAAAGTTTCAATCCATTTGTATAAACCCTCGAAGAAAAAAGTGACAAGATTGATTTTGACTAGGGTCGCCCCTATTCCAAAATTGAAAATGTATTTCCTACTTGGTTCTTTGCTCAAAAAAATTTTAGGATGTTTTATTTGTATTTGTTTTAAGTCCTTTTCCATTTGGAATAACCCTCGAAGAAAAAAGTGACAAAATTGATTTTGACAAGGGTCGCCCCTAGTCCAAAATTGAAAATATATTTCCTACTTGGTTCTTTGCTCAAAAAAATTTTACGATGCTTTATATGTATTTGTTTTAAGCACTAGAAAATTTATGCAAAGTTTCAATCCATTTGTATAAACCCTCGAAGAAAAAAGTGACAAGATTGATTTTGACTAGGGTCGCCCCTAGTCCAAAATTGAAAATGTATTTCCTACTTGGTTCTTTGCTCAAAAAAATTTAAGATGCTTTATTTGTATTTGTTTTAAGCACTAGAATATTTATGCAAAGTTTCAATCCATTTGGATAAACCTTCGAAAAAAAAAAATGAAAAAACTAGATTTTGACTAGACCTGTCCCAAGTTCATAATTGAAAATGTATTTCCTTCTTGGTTCATTGCTCAAATAAATTTTAAGGTGTTTTATTTGTATTTGTTTTAAGCACTAGAATATTTATAAAAAGTTTCAATCCATTTGGATAAACCCTCGAAGAAAAAAGTGACAAAATTGATTTTTACTAGGGTCGCCCCTAGTCCAGAGACAAAATCCCTAGTCTAGATTTGACTAGACCTGTCCCAAGTTCATAATTGAAAATGTATTTCCTTCTTGGTTCATTGCTCAAATAAATTTTAAGGTGTTTTATTTGTATTTGTTTTAAGCACTAGAATATTTATAAAAAGTTTCAATCCATTTGGATAAACCCTCGAAGAAAAAAGTGACAAAATTGATTTTGACTAGGGTCGCCCCTAGTCCAAACTTGAAAATGTATTTCCTACTTGGTTCTTTGCTCAAAAAAATTTAAGGATGTTTTATTTGTATTTGTTTTAAGCACTAGAGTATTCTTGCAAAGTTTCAATCCATTTGGAAAAACCCTCGAAGAAAAAAGTGACAAAATTGATTTTGACTAGGGTCGCCCCTAGTCCAAAATTGAAAATGTATTTCCTACTCGGTTCTTTGCTCAAAAAATTTTAGGATGTTTTATTTGTATTTGTTTTAAGCACTGGAATATTTATGCAAAGTTTCAATCCATTTGGATAAACCTTCGAAAAAAATGAAAAAACTAGATTTTGACTAGACCTGTCCCAAGTTCATAATTGAAAATGTATTTCCTACTTGGTTCATTGCTCAAATAAATTTTAAGGTGTTTTATTTGTATTTGTTTTAAGCACTAGAATATTTATGCAAAGTTTCAATCCATTTGGAAAAACCCTCGAAGAAAAAAGTGACAAAATTGATTTTGACTAGGGTCGCCCCTAGTCCAAAATTGAAAATGTATTTCCTACTTGGTTCTTTGCTCAAAAAAATTTTAGGATGTTTTATTTGTATTTGTTTTAAGCACTAGAGTATTCTTGCAAAGTTTCAATCCATTTGGATAAACCCTCGAAGAAAAAAGTGACAAAATTGATTTTGACTAGGGTCGCCCCTAGTCCAAAATTGAAAATGTATTTCCTACTTGGTTCTTTGGTCAAAAATATTTTAGGATGTTTTATTTGTATTTGTTTTAAGCACTGAAATATTTATGCAAAGTTTCAATCCATTTGGATAAACCCTCGAAGAAAAAAGTGACAAAATTGATTTTGACTAGGGTCGCCCCTAGTCCAAAATTGAAAATGTATTTCCTACTTGGTTCTTTGGTCAAAAAAATTTTAGGATGTTTTATTTCTATTTGTTTTAAGCACTGGAATATTTATGCAAAGTTTCAATCCATTTGGATAAACCTTCGAAAAAAAAACATGAAAAAACTAGATTT